CCCACCTCCCACAGCTCTGACTTTGCCCCTCAATCCTGACCCACAGCCCCCAGCTATCACAGCCGTGGTTTCCCTTCACAGCTCTGCGGATGTACCTCAGGCCTGCACTATAATACCCCTACTATTTCTGTCTGAAAACTACTTCCCAGCTCCACCAATACACTATAATCATGAGTTACAACCCACTTGGTCCTGGCTGTCCTGCCCCAAACACACAACACTGACAATTCCCGTAGCCCCTGACCAGTGCTTAATTTGTAATTTGAAAGCAATTAGCAATTAGGTGCTGGGGCTCAATCAATTTTTTTACATTCATAAATGATGCAGCACACGCAGAGGTCCCAGGGCTATGAACGGCCAAGCCAAGAGGTGCCGGGGCACAGCCCTGGCAAGCCCTGGCACAAATCCCTAAGCACTGGAGCTCAATCTTTGTAGCTTAACAAAAAGAGGGATAAGGGATGACATGATCACCGTCTATAAGTACCTACATGGGGAAAAATATTTAATAATGGGCTCTTCAGTCTGGCAGAGAATGGTATGGCATGGTCCAGTGCCTGGAAGTTAAAGCTGGACAAATTCTGACTGCAAATAAGGTTAAAATTTTTAGCAATCGGAGTAATTAATCACTGGAAGAATTTACCAAGGGTTGTGGTGTATTCTCCATCACTGAGATTTTTTAACTCAAGATTTGTTATATGTATTTTCCCTAAAAGTTCTGCTCTAGGAATAATTTTTGGGACATTTTCTGGCCTGTGCTATACAATAACTCAGACTAGAAGATCACAGTGGCCCACTCAAGACTTGGAATGTATTAATCCATTTATGAATCAATGATTAGAACCATAATTGCAGGCCTGTGCCTCTGACTCTATAGCAATGTATAAGCAAACATGGATTCTTTGTAAAGGAATGATAAAGAAAATGCGTCCCTACTTACTCAAAATAACTCAGAAGGGAAACCCAAATTATTGCAGCCCTCATTAGAGATGATATACTACCTTTTGCAATCAATGAACTATGAAACTACTTTTGTCAGTTAGGTGCTTGTGTGCTCTCTCCATATGCTGTCCCAGCCCTGTACAGACAGTTGGTTCAGCAGACCTCGATAGTACTACCCAGAAAGAACAACCACCAGTACGGTTCAGTGACAAAAGCTCAAGACACAGTCCTAGTGCCCTGGCTCTGTGGCTACAGGTACACTAACACATGAGTGCCCAGTGGCAAAAAGCAGCGCAGTCAGCAGCGAGACTTTTTGCTTTCCTCAAGGTCACACAAAGTATTAAGGTGAGGTACCCCAATATTTATAGACTGAGACAAACAACTCTCATACCATCTTATGTGTTTCATGACATTGGCTCGTTACCTCCGCTTGTATCATGCTCCAGGTGTCTCCAGCACAATGTCCCTATTCATCACTTCTGTCAAACCCTCTTATCTGATATTAGACCAAGATGTCTTTTGTACTGTGTTCTCACACATATCCAGTATCTGTTGCTTCTTAGGAGTGTCTGTGTTTTAGCAACACTAGCAATACTTTTGCCAAAGTCATAGAGTGAACTTGTTAGTATCTACTTTAATACGTGACCTAACTTTGGTTCACAGCCTCTGGTTCAGGCCTCAGATCTTCCACAAGGCCCAAAGGTCAGGCTTTCTCTTTCTCCTATAACTACCAGGTGCAATCAATAAGCCAAACAGCCAGTATGACCCAAGGACAGTCATGCATTTGGGTTTCAAAAAAATTGAAGAAAGGCAATGTCATTTTCATCCAAAGCTTCATTTTGCTTAATTGAGACAAGTTTCCATAAGTCTGATGACACCCTAATGTTGGATCACATCAATGGCCCTGATTCCAGAGTTGTTCTGCTTTTCTTCTAAGCTCAATTGGTCCAGTGAAATCAACAAGATGACTCATATGCTCAGAGTCAAGTATGCGCTTGAGTGCTTGGCTGTAAAGAGGTCTATGCAAGCTAAAAGACTTTTCCTTTGTAATTCCTACCCCTGAAAAATCTCTCTCTGATGTGAAACTCAACCTGGGTTTTCATTCCTACATAGTATTATTCTAGAAATCAAATCTGGCTTTCATTAACTACCCAACAACGGCACTACCTTCAGATTTTGCATGCCATGACAAATGTAGCTCCATTCAGTCACCTGCAGTTAAACAGAGCAAAATCAATGGAGCTCTGCTGGTTTACCCCTTGCCTTTGAAGGAGTTATGCTGATTCATACAAGTTGGGAACCTGGTCCATTGATTTTGATAGAATGAATTTGGTTTACACTAGCTCTGGAAACGTTTAATTGACTGTGATGAAGCTATGCTGATTCATGGCAGCTTGAGATGTGTCTCATTGACTTCACAGGACGAATGGAGAAGTAAGATAAATAGTATTGGTGAAGACAGTGGAGGCATTCTACCAGGGAGAGTCAGCTCAGATGATTCAATGTGGACTAAGGATCACTGATAGTAGAAGTCTGAGGGTGAAATCCAGGCCTCATTCAAGCCAAGGTCAACATTCCTATTGACACCCACCAATGAGGCAGGATTTCATTCTGAGACTTTCTCCACTCACTGATTAATATGGAATCTATCTCTATTGGTATCACTATGTTCAGAAAGGAATACATTGCTGGAAATTATGTTTTCTCCTGGAAAATTCAGAAGAATATACATTTGGACCTCAAGAGGATTTTTTTCAACTTAATGTGTAAGATTTTTTTTTTTTATATTGATTTAGGTGACTCCCATTTACCTTCTCCTATGGGGCCTTGTTTGAGAGTTAGCTCTTGTCCACACTCACAAGGGATGCAAGATCTCCCTACAGAAGGTTACTAGATATAATGAACAATAGTCTTCAAGAAGTCATAACTCACTTGGAGTCTGCATTTAAATTACAGTATGGTTGACTGTATTTGAGGATTGAACGAGAGGTGAGAATATTCATTTTGCTTGCTTGCTTTCTCACAATGAATGCTTCTAAATGAATCTTTCTGACTTTTTGTGGCTGGTATGTCAAAGTTCCTAAGTGTGTGTGGCACCAACACCCAGTGAAATTTAATGAGAGTTGAGTGATACTTCCTTTATACACTTCTGAAAATCAAGCTAAATTTAATTTCTGTGGCATATTTAAAGTTTTGTAATTTGGCTAAATGTGCTTTGCAGTGATACACATTTCCACAACAATGTTTATGAATCTTGGACCATATTCTGATCTCATGTTGACCAATGTAAATCGGATGAAAATTCACATAAATCTGTGAAGTGCCTTTGAATTTTATTGTAGTTGAGTCTAAAGTCAATGGAGATCTAGTGTGGTAACATTGATTAGAGAGTATCAGAGGGGTAGCTGTGTTAGTCTGAATCTGTAAAAAGCAACAGAGGGTCCTGTGGCACCTTTAAGACTAACAGAAGTATTGGAGCATAAGCTTTCGTGGGTGAATG